AAACCGGGTGGTAACTTGAACGAATGGAGGTTAGTTGGTAAGAGGGAGCATGTGTAAGACCCCAATGACGTCATCATAGGCGAGGCCATCTGAAAGGGTATACCCCAGTTTTGTATCATGCGATTAAAATACAGTCCCTCATATATGCCGAGCCATTCTTTTCAACCTTGTTGAAATAAGCACTACTCGGATATTATGACGTCATCAGCCTCGCATTTTCACATTCATTTGGATATCGAATCTCTTTATCAAAACGCGGTCAGGAAATAGACATGGTGTTTCTCCGATAGCAAGTCACCAGACCTCATTACATATAATTGTTTGCATACTTCCACACAATATAAATATAACTTACCAATTCTTTGTTCCTCCGCAGTGGCACGGATTTCTTGAGCAAGCTCCTCTTTCGTAGTTTCAAAGTTGACAACAGCATCAACGTCTGTCTCCTGTGAAGGAGCAATAAACGGTCAGGGTACACGGGAAAGGTCAGATGAGAAAATTGAATGTTTACTCCTAAGGGGGGGGGGGGGGCGCAGAAAAGAGAGACCCGGTGAGGGAGGTACCTCAATACCTCTCTGACCGGTGTTGATAAAAGGGGCAAAGGGGGCGAATGTGCTTTTTTCATAAAGTGCCCTTGAAATCAGCTTCTTTTAATGATAAAAGAGATTCATACGAAATTCTGACAATAGGGCAATCTTCATAACGACACTTCTTACGTCAGCAGTTAGCACATTTTCAAGTTGCACGCAAAAGTTCGAAATAAAATGACAGTTACGAAGGAATTAGCAGAAGCTGGGAATTATCTTAAAAATGCCCTTTTATTGAAGCCTGCCCCCTGGTTCTTGTTGGTTCAGATAATATTACTTACTTTCTCGTTTTTAGCCTCACCAGGCTTTTTCTTGTCGGTGATCGACTCCAGATTCCCGATAACGCGTTTGAGAACATCGTACTGATCTTCCCGGTTCTCGGAAATCGTCGTATCAATACCATCCGGTGACGTCACTTCCTCTTGAGCAATATCATTGGTCGCTGCGAGGAAGTTGACTTGGTTGGGACCCGCGTCGATTATGCGATGCTCGCATTCTGCCTCACCGCAGGAGCATTCTGTACAAGCATTGGAACCTATCAGGAAAGGAAATAAAGTTTATAAGAAAATCTTTCACCCAAATTGGTTAACTTCACACGATCATTAAACAAGCAGATATTGCATAAAATTATAATTTATGTTAATTATATTCATACTAAGATAATGAATATTATGTTTTACAGACAGTTCCGTCATACAGTGCTCAATGCCGTACAGGCAGAGCTGTCAACTCCTTCGGTGTATAGAACAGGAAGGTTTTAAAGACTCATTGCTAACAATGAGCCATTGCGCTACGCAAGCATCCCATAATGCATTTTCCGACTGTCTGAAATCAATTTTGGCTAATCCATAGAAATTTACTGCCATTGTTTGGACCGTCGCCACGCTCGCAAAGGCCCATTGTTAGCAATGAGTCTTTAAGTTGCTACTACGAGATACATCAGGCATTTTATCTGCTTATTGCTAGAGCATACAGTTACAAGGCACATTGACTGGGAAAGATAACTTTGTTACCAGTCTGTTATAAAGTACACGAAAAAAGGTTTATGAACAAAATAACGAGAAGTAACGGAGGTTAACGACCAAGAGTCTTTCCCTTGTACGGATCTATTTATGTTTTTTGAAAAAACGTTATTTTCGGCTTTGTTGGTTAAATGAAGATGACAAAGGCAGCGGATGTGAAATTCGTCGCTGTTATACAGTTACCAAAAAACTAGTGATATGAATTTGCACGGAATAAAAGGAAATTTCAACTCACCTTCGGAACGGTTTGAGAAACCTGAAAAACAAAAATTGTAATCAATGCAATGTTTCTTAAAAAATAACTGACAATATTCATTGATGAGTGATCAATCATTAGTGATCGTGATGATCGATGGTTGACGATGAATGTGATAATAAGCATGATGACTTAATATTTGTAAGGATGTTGTTGAGAGGGTGATCATGATGATGATGACTAATGACAATTGTATCGATTATTACTACTGTGATTAATGATTTGTTGATTGTAGTGATTGATATATTGATTGACTGATTAGTTGATTGGCTGTAGTGATTGGTTGTAGCAGTTTATTGATGATTACATTAAATGATGATTACGATGTTTATGATCAAAGATGATTGCTAATGATTGATTGGTAAATTGATTGAGTAAAGTGATTGGTTGTATGACTGTTTGACTGATTAGTTGATTGATCGATTGATCAAAGTGATAGATTGATTGATGATTACGATGTTAATGATCAAAGATGATTGCTAATGATTGATTGGTAAATTGATTGAGTAAAGTGATTGGTTGTATGACTGAATGACTGATTGGTTGATTGATCGATTGATTAAAGTGCTCGATTGATTGATGATTTTGTTGATTGATGATTACGATGTTAATTATTAAAGACAATTGCTGATGATTGATTGGTAAATTGATTGAGTAAAGTGATTGGTTGTATTGACTGATTGGTAACTGATCGATTGATTAAAGTGATCGATTGATTGATGATTACAAATAAGATGTTGATGATTGATCACTATAACAATAACGCTGAATGGTGATTGTGATCCTCGCAGCTATTTTGAAACATGACTAAGACATTGAAAATGACTCACAAGGTTATTGCTGAGAACAAGATTAAAAATCACGATCGAAAACAAATGTTGGTTGATAACAATAAACCCACCAGTTGTTCGATACAATTTACGTCACTAAATGACAAGATGAATGCAAGCCATCAGGGAAAATCGTAATTTTAAAGATAGAAGCCACGCGCAAAGCGGACACGGAAACAAGATTGCCAGTTGATGGCGAAATTATCAAAATAAGAAGATAATTTGAAGTTTGTCATATCTATGCTGCATGATACAGAGGAGAATTTCAATTGCAAGTGATCCGAAATTCTAAAGTATTAATTTTGGATAATAGCGATTTGCAGGTTTGAAATTGAAAGAGGAATTAAGGACGAATGATCTGCGATAGCCGAGCTTACAAAAACGTCTTCATGAAAAGCACAAAGAGAGCTTTTAAATGTTACTGAAAAATCTTGTCACAGCTCTCTTACAGGCTTTAAGATTCAACAGATTTCTAACAAACTCAACAAGCCGTTTTTGATAGCCATAAAACGAAATCTATCCAATGAATCTTTTGTTTTTATGTCCGTTTAGGTGCAGAAAAAAGCTACACTTTGAAAGTGTTTGAAATAATATCAACGAGTTTTGAAAAACACAAGCAGATCAAAGATTGAATAGGGAAAAAATTATGTCAAAAATAAATGCTGTAGAAGGTTAAGAGTTGAGTTATAAGAAGACAAATTATAAAAAATAAAAATTATAACGACAAAAACTGCGAGATTGAACATTTAATGAAAAAAATGAGTCTTTCCCATAGTGATTGGTTAATATGAACAATGGGGTCGATCCAACGTTGTCTCTGATTGGCTACATTTGCTAATAACGTCAATCAAGCATGAATTGAAATCACGTGAAAATGCAATTGGGCACGAAAGTTGATAGAATGGTTTCAAGCAAAGACCAAGAAGTGAATGAATTTCATTGGAAAACAAAGTGGATTAAAAGTAACTCATAACTTTCAAAAGTAATTGATTTTTAACGAGAAAACACAGCAGAGATGAAAATAATATGATCTAGTTAGAAAAACAACGATTAGAGATAAAAAACGATCAGTTTGGAGTCGAGGTAGCCAAAATAACATTAGATTTCAAAAGGAAAGTAGCCCACAGCTCTTAACATGATTTAAGAGAATCAATTTTTTGGTGACGTTATTTCATTAGGTATTCAAGTTGGGCAGAAGAGTTCGTGTGCGAGTCGTTGGTTCTGTTGCAGAGAAGAACGATTTGATGTCTTATGACAAAAGGGCTGCTGAGAGAACTTGCATGTTTAAGCATGCGCAATAGTGCTTAATTCTAATGCGCGTGCGCAAACAAATATGAAAGAGCCTTTTCGCTAAGCAATTTTATATGTTCTCATATCAAGCAAATTTTGATTGAGAGAGGAAAGGATTTAAATGCAATGGTAAACATTTGACATCTTAGTTGCAGTGAATTTTCTGAGTCGCTTGTTTGTGGTGTCGTTTTTGTATTTAGAAATTATCCGACTTTGGGGAGAAAATTAAGAGAACTTCAATACACCAAGTTGTATTGGGTGCCCGTTGCCCCCCTCCCCATCACCCTTTGATTTTTGCAACTGTTTAAATGGGTGGTTTAATTGACTAAGACCTAATTTATATGAATGAAAAACCTTTTCCTGGAGACGATGAGAAAAGAGAGCACGATAAGAATTAGGCATAAATGAGAGAAAGGAAGAGGAGGATTGCCAGTGGGGAAAAGGAGCTTGGGTGTAAAAATTAAGGACAAAAAGTCTTGGGAAACTTCGGCGAGAAAGTCAGTCAGGATAGGTGGCTATTCGCGAAAAATTTACAAAAAATGACACAGGGAGAACTTGAAGGGGAGTTGGGTTTAAAAGTTATGGATACAAAGTCGTGACACATTTGGATAAAACAATTCAAGTGTTGGCGAAACACAAACCAAGAAAAGGGTGCAGGGAGAGCTGTGAAGGGGAGTGGGGTCCGTAAAAAATCATGGCACAGTTGGATGGGGATAATTCAAGATAGATAAGCACTGGCGAAACAGAAATGAGGGGGGGGTTTGGGGTGCAAAAGAAAAGGACAAAAATCTTGGCACACTTTGATGAGAAAGAGTTGACTTACAAAAATCCATTCTGCTTTTATCTTCTTCCGATTTGTATCTTCCATACGCTCTTAATTTCATAACATTGCAAACAATCAACTTCCACTCATTTGTGCCACTCGAACCGAACTTAACACTTCGTACTTCCATTTCACGGTAGGACAACCACGCGTGTTCGAAAGCCAAAATTCCGCCAACGGAAATTTCCAAATGAATTTCACGCTTTAAATTACGACTTTTCACAATTTCTCCTTCTTATGATAGTCTTCATCTCTCGATTTTACGGCGATTGACCGAGCACAGGATTTGACAACTAGGTTTCGCTAAGCTCAAATTCGACAGGATTCGACAATCTTGTTTCGAAAATCAATAATTCGAGGCTATAAGTACAAAAGGCATAGAATTCTTCAAATTTTTTTGGCACAATATCTTGTTCCGCCAAGATAAACTTTCACACTGGAATTGAGATTTCTGTTTTAATTGTTTTCAAATTGGAGTCTTTAACTATAAAACAATAACAAGAACTTTTTGTCTCGCGATATATCGTCCCGTAAAATAGTTCGGCAATCTTGTTCCGCAAGTACCAAGTTTCGCGATGGATTGGCCAGTTTAGTTTCGACAATTCCACAGTTTCGAACACTAACTTCAGATGATCAGTACTAAAACTTTGTATTTTCGTCCGTCGAATCCATCCAAGCGAAATGATCTTGCTGTTTGGATCTTTGCCATCGACCAGTCCAGTGTTGTGTAGATTGAGCTTCTAATCTCACTGACGTCATACTCCAGATCTATGCCACCTGTCGCCTTTGCCTCGTATTCATTAAATGCTCACGCAATTCGACTCGTATTCATCAAATGCTGACGGGATTAAATGAATCACTTCCAGATAAATCAACTCACTGCAGACTGCATACTGGCCTGAAAATTCACGTTTATGAACTGTTAAAAGTAAAATAGCCTTCTACCGTATTCACAGCTGCTATCATCGAGCATGTTTGATCAAACCTTATCGACTCCTTCTGCGATTTACGTAACAGGTTTGCTTCTCCAACGGATTTCAAAATCCCCTTCAACCAATCAGGAACAAAACATAACAACTTTGAAAACAGCAATACAACGTCCTAAGGATTTATAAAATCTCTTCTAAATTCATTTCCTACTCATGGCAAGATTCACAGCCAGGTACAGAGCATATGGCACATTCGAATGAAATTTGAAGTCATTTTTCTCGAAATTCTTTTCAGCTTCGCTGTCAAACCACAATTGTTCGATAAATGAGATATTTCGTCCACGCAATTGTGATTGAGAAATCTTGCATTCGCAATTGTAACTGTCAAGGAGGGCTTTTCATTCAATGGAAATTAATCTTAAACGTCCTAACCTCAATGACACTGATATTTTGAGATCAGTGTCAGCAAAATGCACGGCGCGTGACTGACGCACCCCGATTTCAGGCAGAAAGCGGATCCCTGACTCCAAACGAAGCTGTACTTACAATCTTGTAATCTGTGATATAAGATCAGGGAATCCTACAAAATCTTGAATGGTAGCTGCGTTAAAATCTTCGAAAAAGGCTTGAAATCGAAACAAATCATCTATACTGATTTTTAGAGTTTGTGGCTCGAAAATGAGCAACCGAGCTAATCTCTAACAGGATTAATTCAATCTTGGAAATCCAATGTTAAATACACGAGCAGTCTCAAAAACAAACGTTTGCTATACTGATCCTGGAAATTCAGTATTATCTGAAAAACGTTATCCTTGAATCCAGATTGTGTTTCAAACTCAAAATTTCAAATGATGTAAAAATTATCTATGAAGTTGGTAATGACTCGAGGATAGGGTCTCGTAACAAATCCAGGTTAAGATGTCAAACTTCACAAATCTTAATCCAGCATCCAGATTCCGATTGAAGGACAACAGCAGAGGATTTTGATCACCAATCTGATTAGTATAATAACCACGGATTTCTTGTCAATTATTTTCTATTCACAGGATTGCTTAAATCTCGATTCAGATAAAATCCAAGTCAATCTAGATTCTGATGATCTGCCTCGACAAGGGTGCGTAGATATCC